GAGGATGTGTCATAGTGTGTCATGAAATGACTTAGCGCATGAGAATCATTGGGATCAGATGGTTAAAATGCCATGTTGTAACAAAAAGTATTTTAAAAAAAATGCCATGTTAGGAACACATTTGTTATATTTTTATTATAATTTGGCCATTTAAGTATGTGCTAAGAGTAAAGCTTAAACCAATGCTGACACAAACAAGCCTTTCATCTCCTCTAGTCTCTAATACAAGGTGCTACTTGTGAATAATACTTTTGGTGACCTGAGATTACACAGCGTTTCTTTATTAAACATGAAACGAAGGAAAAGTAAATTTGAACATCAATTAAACAAAATGAGGCTCACGGCCGGACCGAATCTCCGGAGAAACAAGACTCGGAGGACAGGGAGAGGACTCAGACAAACAGAGAGGTGGGAGGCCCAGGCAGCACGAGTTTAAAAACTATGAATGTGTTCGGTCCCTTCCAGGCTGACTGCTATTCTGTCCCCATACCAGACATTCCAGAGGAAGCGTGGCTGGCTTCAGGCTCTGAGTAGCTGATCCTGGAACAGCATGTTCAGCACAGCAGTAATCACCTCAGCCCGCCACAAGCAAGGCAGTGCACCACCACATCAACAACAAGGCAGAGCTTTGTGCCTGTCAATTTGCACCCTGAAAAAGTGCTCTGGAATTTCATTCACATAAGGGAAGGGAGACATTTTTTCCACCCACTTCTGCAAGGGCCGTCCTCATTTCCCTGTCCCTGCCACTTTAGACGTCCCTCACAACCTCATGATGTTGTGCAACTTGTCCCTGCGCCCCATTGCCCAATGGGATTAGGACGAGAGGAAGCTGGAGAAGCCACAAGAACACCCTTGGGAGATCGTTGCCTGTCTGGGAAAACACCTCCCCTCGTTTTCTTCCCCTCTCAGCAAACAACCCACACTCTCTAACAAGCATATGGGCTCCCAATGACACATGAAGGAGAGGGCTCAAATCCAAGTATTGGGAACCTTCCTGAGTAGGAGAAGCTGGATTTCACCCCTTCATGGCAGTGGTCCAAAGTAGGCTGACTTAAAGACTTCCTGCCCTGAGCAAGAGCCAGCTTTCTGTGGCATCTTGGCATCTGCGCTGCCAGCTATGAACATTATGTTCAGAGGCAGCACAGACAATTGGTGCCAAGAGTTTTAATTAAGACTGTGTTGTGGAAAGTAAAGGCATGTGCAGGTAATGGCTTCTATCCCCATTTCAGAGGCCTAACAAAATATGATTAACTAACACTATCTGCCTTAGCCAATTAATTATATTTAACAGTTAAAGACCCAGGACAACCAAATGGCCCAAAGAGGAAAATCAGTGTGCACTGCTTTTAATACTCAAAAGTGCAGCGAGCATAATTGTACTATAATAAACTGATGATGACAAAGATGTTTAAAGACAGTAGGGGCGGGTGGACAGTGTAGCTATGTTGGAATCCAAATCAAGGTATAGTATGTATGAAACATAGTACAAACTACAATAAGATTGTACAATGTGTGACCCTTTTCACCAGGTTTCTACAGTATAATCAATGAATTATTTAGGTATATTATCAATTTTAAAAAAGTGTTTCTGGTTTCAAAATCAAAACATTTGCTGCTTTTATTTTAATTTCATTAAATACCTCTAGGTTTGGGGCTGTTAGAAAACAATATGCAATTTGCATCTTGGGCTCTGGGAACTTGTAAGGGGCATTTTCAACATTTCACAGACAAAATGATCAATCAGTGAAACAAAAACATAAAAAGTAGATTGACTGATAATGAAAATAATTAGTGTGGTGCAGCCGTAGTAAGTATAGATGCCGAACGTGCATAGACCATCTGTGTCATGAAATTACAACTTTTGTTCAAATTTAAAACCATATGAGGTTCTATTTATGATAACATATGATAACAAGCAATTTGAAGACTGGGTTCAGAGAAATCTTTCAAAATGTTCTAATAAATTAAATGATACAATAATAAAATACAAAATCAGAATTCTTGCAGTCTACATGACCCCACACACTCAACAAATTCCACATACTGTAACTCTAACCCCTGTTGACACCCATATTCTTAGATCTATCAGGATTTTTGCACGAATGCAATGGAATTGGAAGGGTGTCACTCCAGTCTCAATTTCTTGAAATAAACCATGCTGAATATCATATTGCCTCTGGCAAAGAGTTAAATCCCTCACTTGTGCAAGTCAGTAGTTGGCTTCATCCACAATAGCCGTGCAGGCCTGATGCCAAGACACTGATTAGCCTAGCTCTGCCTCTGTTCTCCAGGCAATGCGGAGTGGAGGTGCAGTGGGAGTCCAGCTCATCACCAAAGAGCACTGTGCTAAACACAAGTTTAAGTGGAAGAAAGCCAGCATACTGTAGTGTAGCCATGCTGGACACATAAAGCCTTGGGCAAGGAGGCATCTGCCTCTTTAATACATAATTCACTCAGAGCTGAAACATCATGCTTTCGTCCTAAGGGCCAGTAGTCTGCTTCTGGATGTTGGAACATGAAACTGTCTCCATCAGATAATGCGGTCTCATTGACAGGCAACTTGATGTATTAAGTAGCTAACTATAAAATTAGGTTCAATCCCTTACCGGTATAATGTACTATATATTCAAATATTCAAAGGTTGGTTTTCAAAGTGCACCAAATGTATGTGGAAGCAATGTCATCTCACCTTTCCACCTCAGCGAGTTTGTCCTTATCACCTTGATATGCAGGTAGGTCGACATGTAGAGACAGCCATCTGCCCTCGAGCTCTCCCTTCAGACATGCACATGGTCACTTTACATTGCAACCCCTGTAAATGCATCTTACTGTAGGGGTATTATTAGAAGCACTCATGTCTTATAGCCCACATTATTATCATAACTGACAGGATGTGCATTAGTTACTCCAGTCTCTGCAGCAGATTGGCCATAATGTTGACACACTAGCATACAGGCCATTTTGGAATTCAGCATGAAGAGTGAAGAACCTGAGGCAGCTGTAGTGCTTTCATGTGTAATAGTCCCAGCTCAAGTTCCCATGAAAGAGGCACTAATGGGTTAACAGTAGAAATGAGAGGGGAAGAGAGGAAAATCAATGCTTTTGTTGAGGGGAAGAAAGAAAGGCTTTCACAGGTCTATGTATCATTAAGCAATTGAGAAAGCTAATTAGAGTGGGGGGAAAAGATGTGCAGATCTCACAGCTAATTATTTCCATGGCAACCACAGCTCCGGTAGATGATCTGAGGTAGCATTCAGCAAAGGCAGACCGTTACACAAAGAGCAAGATAGACCCCTAGTGGGGTAAAATGAAGGTGTTCATGAGAAGCTATAGACTCAACATATTGATTAAAAAACAAACCAATAGCTTTAAACACAGAACACAATTCATATTTAAACAAATGTTACTTCAGTAGATAATAAACAAGTCCGTGTGCAACATCATACTCTGGGAACTATGGATAACTGATATAAATTTAAATAAAGTGGGTTTTTTAAGATGTTAATCCCTTACAGAGATAAATACGTTTCACTTTTCAATCAAAGAACATAATCAGTCAAGAATGCATCTTAAACTTAAACCTAAACTTAAAATTATTAAATTCCAGGAGCCACCCTAAGTCATGCTGTAAAGATCTATTATTATGATAAATATGACTTGTCTGGTAGGTGTAAGGTGGTAGAAGTCATTATTTTGCTGCTTTACACTCAATGCAGCACTAGCTTCTTACATTTCTATTTATTCCCAAACAAAACACCATTGTTCTTCCGTAAACACAACAAACTCCACTGTGCAGGAGAGTGTTTCTACAGGAGTAGCCTTATGCATATACTATAAATGTATAAATGTATAGGATCTGGCAATGACTTCACCAAAACTGTGCTGTATTCATTGGTGAAAGCGTGATAAGGTTACCGTGTCAAAACTTCACACAACAAATGACGAGAAGTGTAACTGTTGAGTCAAGTGTTTAATTTTAGGTAAAAATATCATATAAAAATGAAAAATAGGAGGTCTGATTTGTCCATGGTAGTCAGAGTTGACCCTCTGAACAATGTCATTCAGTGTCTCTGTTTGCTGGGGTCAATCTTCTCCAGGTGAACCAGGGGTTTGAGTTGCTCAGCAAAGCTGCGCATGTCCTCTGACACAGTGTCCTGACCGGCAGGAGCCAACACACTCAGCTCCACCAGGTATGAAAGCGACAGACGCTCTGTGTTCTCCGTGTTCCCCGGTACCAGGATACGTGACAGCTTACTCACCACAATTTTCATTGCACCTTTGCGGAATATGTGCCCATTAGCCACAAACTCATGGTCCATGCGGAAGCCCATCTCATTGAGGAACTCTGGCAGGCTGTGAGAGCCAGCCACGTCCACACAGTTGCGCACCAAAGCATGGCGGCTCTTGTCTCCGACTTCAGGTTGGCCTAAGTAACGTAGGTGCCATGGAGATGTGGGGTGGGAGAGTGAGCGACGGGCACGCAGAATGAAAGGATTTCCTTGTTGGCCTTTCAGAAGATAAACCAGTTCATGATCTGTAAAGGTCTCCGGTTCCATGTTGTCACATAGACCTCGAAGGCGATGCAAGAGGCTTTCCAGGGCCTGGTCTAACACACTGCCTGAAGAAACAAAGAGTAGAGAAAAATATGCATACATATATAAATGAAACATTCATAAAACATTGTAGTGTAACAGTCATGCAATAAATCCCACCTTAATGAACGTTATAATATTCACTTATTGATTCAACTGTCTTAAAAAGAGGTCAGACTGTATTTTGTGGTAATGTTGAATTCCATCGCATTTTATAGTGTTTCTAATATCTCGTTTGTTTAAATGAAGATTGACGATTTGGGACTCCGTTATCCAAACACCAAATATAAGGAAATATCTTTTAGAAGAATGGTTTCATCCCAACACTTTCCCATGACTCATGCTCTGACATTGCTCACCTTGCAGCAGGTACTCCATCATATTGATCGTGCCCCCGGTGACAGGCATCACTGTGACTGGCGGAGCTTCCATCTTTATTCGAGTTGTTTTTGAATCTGGAGGAGGGAAATGTGATCAGCTCATTATGTATCATAACACACGCACGCAATGTTACCAGTGTTAGCTCGCTAAATAAAGTGAGATAGCTGGCTAACTTAATGCTATGCAGCAGTTTGTTTCATTGCACAACACAATGTTCGCTCGCTGAGGTCAAAGCGGATAAATGTCGGGTGTTCGTGTTCGGTAGAGGCTCCGCAGTAAAGACCGAGGATCCGCTAGGCCTCTCCGCTAGTAGCTACACAGTTTGATATCATGAGTTAGCCACAATGAAAGCTGCGTTACAAGCTTCAACGTCAACTTACGTGAACGGGGTGACTTATATTTATCTGTGAAAGCAAAGAGCCGATTAAAAGAAAAGTAACAACACAGCTCGGTTAGTTAGTAAGAGAATAAACACATTCAGTAACAGTGAATGAAACCCATTTCTCTTCTCCCTCTGTTTTTTTCCTCCCCAGTGGTTAGCATCCAACTTTGAGGCGCATTACAGCCACCTAGTGGAGAACTGGAGTAACTTCTTCCTCTTCTTCTTTTGGTTTTATGGCGGGATCCAACCATGACTATTAAGGTACATACTTCCACCTTCTGTGCCGGAGTATGTAGCATGAGTTATAGTTAAATTAGACTACTTTACATCACACACTGGAGTACCATTTATCAGTTATTTTCCTATGTACCAAGTGATGGATCAAGTGAATTAAAAGCATACCAAATACCCCATTGACAGTAAAAGACCTGGACACAACATTTTCCTGAAAGTACTGTTAGTAAAATGTATTTAAATTATGTTTTTAAATGTTTTCATTATTCAACTGTGAATAAGATGATCCCTTTTAGAGTAAAGGCATATAATTGGGTTATCAGAAGTGACAAATTAACATTTAAGCAATGGTGGGAGAACTCAGATTTACTTCACTTTTTATTTTACTGCTAAAAGTATCAAAACCACGCTGTAAAAAATACTTTACCATTACAAAGCTTTCCTAACTGCGCAGAAGTAGCTATTATAAGCAAAATGTAGGCCTAAGGTAACAAAAGTAAAAGAACTCTTCATGCTGTTAAAATTATCGATATTATTGTTTTATTATTACTAATTAAAATGCAAGCCATACTAATTGTTGTAGCTGGTTGAGGTGGAGATGATTTTAAGTAGCTATAGTTTAATTTATAACAACAATGATATTTTATAAGTTCATGATGTGTTTTGTATTTAAAATATAAATCTAGTAATTATTGCTGTTAAGTAAATGTAATGGAGGGGGAGAGTACAGTATTTCCCTATAAAATATAATGAAGTAGAAATCATAAAATGAAATAATTACCACAGAATTTGACTTAAGTTCAGTAAGAAAATGCACTTACTTTCCACCACTGTGGAAGCATTTTAATGTGGTTGCTTTTTTAGGTGTAACCAATTTTAAATTCTTAATACAATTTTATTAATGTAAGTTACTATTCCTGTCAAATAAATATAGTGGAGTTAAATGGTACAATATTTATTTCTGCCAATGTACTCAAGTAAAGTGTAATATCCCAAATATGTACTTAAATACAGTATGTGCACCTCTGTATATTGTAGCTATAGTACATCAAAACAGTAGACACAAGTAGTATACATTTTTACATAAACCACTTTAATAAATTAGTATCAAACCCAACGTTTCTCATTCAAATTATTGAACAATATAAATATTTTGGTTTGAAACACCTGAATTGTTATTCAGAAAGGATGCCCCTGTGTTTGATTGAAAAAAGTAAAGAAACTAATAAAGTAATTTTTGTTGTGGAAAGAATTGTCAGCTTTTATTTGTGGGTCACTTCACTCAGTTAGGAAACTTCCTAATCAAAAAACATCCATTGCTTCAAAATTTCCCTTTAGAACATGCGTGGGTGAAGTCACATACACTTTTCTGTCATGAAGCCCATTTTTTGAGGAATCATTTACTCAGTTATATGACAGTGAAGGAGGGAACTCATTACATCTATGGCATTTATGGACCATGTTTATGGACCTTTTTCTCTATACATTTATTTCACTATACACACATTCACTGTAAGTCATATGATTGTTTGTTATTTTAGCAGGTCTCCTGATGACAATTGATGAATAAATCACCGAAGTCTCCTCTTCCACCTGCAGTAAAAAGTAAGACATTTCATCACCCAACAGAACATCACACATGTTAGTTCATTGCTGCATGTAGTATAAGGTTATTCCATCACCATCATATAACACTTACCCTGCCATTCAAGCCACAGCAACAAATGCATATAGGAAACGCTTAAAGAGATAGAAACGGAAACAGAATGAGGGGGGACAGCTAAACTTGCTGAGCCCAGTGTTAAAAATCTGTTTCAAGGCAGCAGACCACTGAACAAGCAATAAACAGGAAGTTTAAAAAAAAAAAGAGCTGCATAGCCTACCTGCCCGCAATCTTGGTCTGAGGTAGCAAATTAAAAGTGCTATTAAAATAAGACATGTAAGGGTTGCTGATGTTCCATAAATAATTGGAATCAGATATTCAGGCTCTGAAGGTATATCTGAAAAACCAAAAACATAAGAATGAATATTTCTTTCATTCAGGTCATGAGTTTCTTAAATAAAAGTACAGAAAAACACCCACCTGTTTTATTAAAAGCATTTGATGGTCCAAGAGGTCCAAGAGTGCTGTTAACTGTGCTGTATCCATCAAACGTCTGCTTTGTACTGCAATTTAAAACCCCATATGCATCTACAAGTCCTTTCCTTGTGTCTGTCACATTCGATGTGCTGTTTGGATTGATTTTACTGAATTCCATGTCACACACCACAGCACAAGAAACAGATGAATCCTCTCTGTGGTGTACTGTAAAACAGAAAAAAAGATTATAAGTTAAACAGTTTAATTTTGATATAAAACACTGTATGTGTGTGTTATTTTCTCACCTGTAATAACACACAAGTTGATAGTAAGTAGCTTATGCACGTGTCCATCACATCCACTTGTCCAGCAGGTATATATCCCAGCATCTGCTCTTTTGACATTTAAAATGTGTATAGACTTGTTGGAAGTCACAAAGTGTGATTCCCTAAGTGCAGTCATGTTACTGACTTCAAAAGTCCATTTTAAGTTAGTCAATTCACCTGGACATGCATGAATAAAATTGCTGCCCGCAGTAACGTACAATGTCTTATTAGTTTCTTTCAGAATTCCTGGAGAAAAAAAAGGTATAAATTGTTTAAACAGAGGATGGGATTTGGTAAATGTTTAGAATACACAAAGCAGTTTGGAACTTAATATATTCTGGTTTTTAACATATTATAACAATCACAATTGCTCTGACCTTTCTTCACAATGGTGACTCTGGTATATTTATTCCAACATTTGTCTTTAAAACAACTTTCACACAAGTAAAGGCCTTCATCCTCCTCTGTGAGGTTATCAATGACCAAGGAACGATCACGCAGAACCTTCATTCTGGGACGGAGGAGCTGCTGACGGTGTTGTACTCCTGTCTTGTCTTCAAAAAATATCTGGATTTTGTTACTACTTCCATCTTTCTCGTAATACCATTTGAAAGAGACGGAGCCACTGTTATGTTGACATGGTATCACAGCTTCACATCCCAGCGGCAATTGAAGATGATTTTCACCTGCTAAAATGTAAGATTTCTGTTAATAGTCACTTCAAAAACGTAAAATATGAATAATGTATTGCCAAACAACAGTAACAACACAAAACTGCATTTTAAATACAGTGTAATATCAATGATTGATTTACTTACTATTTCCTGAGGCAAAAAAGGATGAATTCCAAATAATCAGTAGAAAAATAAAGCCTTTTTGCATCATGCTTGAGGCACTCATGTCTCTGCAGAAATAAAGACAATGCTGAACAGATAGAAACACCCCCTCAGTGGTTACACTATTACTGTTCTTCAAAACAGAGACTCTGTCTCACATCAGAAGGTTTTAGATTGAGCGTAACGACTGAATTCAAGACACATCGGAAGTGGTCCAACAGCCAATGCAGAGGAAATTTACCGTGGCTTTCACCCACGCTGTTTTTCTGATTGTGTGGCATTTATTACACTTTTTGCATTAGCATATGTGTTGAAGTGCAGTATGTACAGCAGTAGCAAGTGTTGTCAAGGTGTCAAACTGATTGTATTTTTCTGCTGTCTATGAGATACGATGTAACTTATTTGAGTAAAACAAACATTGTAATTGTGCTCTTGATTCAATTTACTCATCTGCCAGGCTTAAAATCAGCTGTTTTTTGCAGTGTTTCTACTTCCAAAAGGCTTTCATGCGCTGCAGTTATGAGGTTTAGAGGTTTATTTTAAGGCTCTGAAATGTCAAAAGATCATTTAGGTTTACAGCGAGCACTGACAAGCACAGTGTCTGGAAAGTGCAACAATGGAAAAGTTTACATGACATGAACAACATGAATCAGATGTGAGTCACATATCCACAACAAGCTTATTCATGCTTAATGATTTTAGCACTGTTGCCTTACTCATTTGTGAGTTCTTTAAAGTTTTGATTTAATTTTTAATTTTAACATGATGGCCTATTGCAGTCTGAGCTTTGATCAAAAGCACCACAGAATAGACCACACAGATGGATCAATGCCTCTCTTAAACAGTTCAGTAAGTAAACTGTGTGCATCAGTAACAATTCATTCTCATATCAAACAGTTTGTGTCCAGTGCTGTTAATGCATTATAACGTATGTGGTTAAATACATCTAGAAGAAAATGTATAAATTACTTGAGTACATGAATTGTAATTTGTACAACTGGTTCTGTATGTTTCTGATTGATTTCAAAAAACAGATTGATGAGAGATTAATAGAGAGATAATAAAAAGATCATGTTATTATAGTAACCTCATTTTTTTAATGAATAAACATGTCTTCATAATCCGTTGTTAACAGAGATTTCACAAACTAAATTTCACATCTTTGGTCAACATTACAAAAATAAACCCTTACCTTCTTTAATCTAATCTAATGCCTTGTTATCGGATGCTCCAAAATCCGCTTTTTGCGTCCGCACATGAAGTCATCATGGGACGGACCGGCCCCGAGGAGATGCTCCGCCCACCTGCCATTACGTCATACCTATCCACTTGAGAGTTGTGTTTTACATCTCAGTGTTTGTCGTCAAGTACGCCACTTCTTTGCGTCTGTGTCGGAATGGAGTTGACTGAAGCTTACCTGACGCTGCAGTGGGGCTGGCCGGGTTTGCATCACTTGTTAGCTCTACTTTGTCTTGTTGCCGTCGTCTATAAACTCGCCACTTTGCTCGCCAAAAGAAGGGACGTGTTCCGAAACTATGAAGTTTTCCCAGGACCACCGACACACTGGCTTTTTGGACATGTTTTGGAGGTAATTCATTCAGCACGCAGCCAAAAAAGCAGCAACTTTATGTAATTTACACAATGTGCAAAGTCTATTTGGCTTGTATATCCTATTTTTTTTCCTGCATAATAAGGACTTGA